GACCCTTGGGAGAGACGGGTCTGTGGTGCTATTAAGGAATGCTGCTCTTGGCGCGATTAATCGTCTCGCTTTCTGGTCCTCCGGGCCCTCCGTACCAGATTTTGGGCGAGGGGATCCTGGCTGAGAGAGTGGTTTTCAGAACGCCAGCCAGGGACTGAATTCACGTGTTTGCTAAGAGGTTTCTTGGGCGACCCAGTAGGGCTCTCTCTGCTACGTTTATACGCATTAGTTGGCTTAACTGTATAAGGCCATCCACCATGGCTTGTCCAATAAATTAACGTGAAAGCAAATTATATCTTTAGTTAATGCGTTAATGGAGGATAGCTTACCTTGTTCCATTTACTCAGCTAATCGCTGCTTTGTGTGGAGGAAGAAGTCTTCTTCCTTTAAAGTACGTTTCTTTCAGTCCATTAAAAAGCTGAGCAAAAACAGAATTGTGCATAGTAATTAAGCAGGCACTCAGAAAAGTAGTAAATGGAGCTGGGGCCCTTTTGGCAAGTCCTAAAAAGTTGCTCAGCAACTTCTCCCCCCCCCCTTTCGAGGGTGGAGACGGAACTTTCCTATTCAGTCTATAGTGGGGAATGAAATCACATGAATGTAATTCCTTCCTGGCATTCATTGCTAGTTGGTTTACCTATGGGGGGGAGGGGACTGCTTTTTGATTTTCTTTCGGCAAAGAAAGTTCAAGAGTCTTGCATAGAAGAAGGCTCTGTGCAGCTCTTGGGTGTCCTTTGGAAGAAAGGAAGTTCCCCCTGCCTAGCTTATCACCAGTGGGTGGGCTACATGCAGCCACAACGCTCTATTTGCAAGCCCCAAAACTGAAATTTGATGGCAAAATCAGTGATTTGGGGCAGGACAAGTTTCCCTTTTTTATGATTTTGAGGGCTGTTTTAATGATGAGAATAAGAATACAAGGCAAAACACTTCCAAATAAAAAAGTATTGGATGTTTTCATCCTGTTCCTTCTGGGGATGAGCATATTATACTGAAAGGTGTCTTGCAGCCTACTGGCAAGTTAGGAGCCTGAATTGTCTGAGTCCCAGTCCAGAAGAGTTTGTCCATTACTCACGTATGTTTTGAGCCTTGGGTGTAAGTTGTTTTAATTCCTGTGGGTTAATTTAAAGTACACCTGCATTCACGGATCCTATTAAGCCATAGCTTGTTGACTAGTTAGTTAGCTGGGTTCACACACTGATAACTATGTTTGTAGACCATAATGGCTAGTTCATGCCACTTGCTCAGTCCAACAGCAAACCAGTCCCATCACGCTCACTTTTGGTCACTTGAAGAACTGCAGTTTTTCTCATTTCGATACTCTGTCAGCCCACCTAACAGAGCCTCGTTGAGGTCTGCTTTTCTCCAGAGGTCATTAAGGAGTCAGTCTTGTCCGTTGCCTTCTTGTGCTTTCTCCGTATAACACTAATGTTAAAAAAGTCAGTTTCAAAATAATGCAAAAGAAGAGGTGTTTTTTTAAAGCTTTGGTGCTCTTATTTGCAAAACAGAAGGGGGCATTTAGTCCGTAGTACAGAGGCGAATGCAGCACTTCCAAAATAACAACACTTAAACAAAAACAAAGACCAGTATAAAACAATACATATAAAAGGAGATAGAAGTATAAAACTAATATGAAAGGCAAAGGATGATACAGGGTGGGGAAACCTGGCACACAGGACCCATCATAGGGAATCCAAGCCTAAGTAAAAATAAGGTTAACATATGGTTAAAATTTATGTTTTTGCAAAAATTCCCTATATAAATAAAGTAGTAAATAAGGCAAGTAAACATAAATATACAAAACAAGCAAGTGTAAAAGCAGTTGCCAAAGGCACATAATGAAATGAAAAAACAAAAACTGAGAAGAGAAGCTGTTCTCCAAACTTGTGGGCACCAGTGTCTTCCTGTCCTGCCCCACAGAATCTTGCCACGCTGTATGTTATGGTAAGAGTCTTATCAGACAATAGAAGCAGCATATAGAAATGCCTCGGGTGACCTGGAAAATCTTCTAGCAAGAGTGCAATATAAGTGCTGCATACATGCCTGTAATATTGGCAGACCAGTGGTGCGTGCTGATTTGAATCCCTCTCCCCACCCTGACAAGGGCACAAACGTTCTGAATCGGGTTTCTTTTTTTATATTTCCCTTCTAGCACCGCTGAAGGAAGGACACCAACCTTGCCCATGTGAAAGCTTTTCTATGGCCCACATAAACCAGTTGCGTAAGGTCTAATGTGGGTTTTAGACAATACCTTATCTGTTCTTCCACAGGGAGCTTGGGGACTCTGCCTAAATCGGTTTGCTACTCCACGTCCCTAGCACATTGTTTAATAGATGATGTTGCCAGTTCATAGCCCATTCGTAGCACTCCCTGCATGGAAAAGCCATATTTCTGCAATTTGTTTTCAGGGGAGGACACCCAAAAGGCTCCATAATTATCTGAGTGTATCAAGGGAGCGAGGGCCTCAGGTAGGAAGACAAGTTTCAGCCAGTAGGGTCTGCCTTCATCACACTGGATTCAAGATGTAAGGAGGCGTTAGAAATAGGACAAGACACCTGAAACACTGCCCTGAGAAATTTGGACGGAAGACTTCTCAAGAGGCCAGAGCTCGAAATGGTCCCAGCTGTGCTGCATACATGATCTGAGCCAAAGATTTAGCTTGAAATAATTTAAGGGCAGCTGTGAGGCAGCATTCCTCCCCCCACCTTGTCCAGTAGAATCACAAGATGGGCACAGAGCTCTTTCGAACAGTCAAGGCAGCATGGCGGCCATGTGTCCTTCAACTACCTGAGGCCTGAAATACCACCCCCAAGTATTTGAAACATGACACTTGTTCAATGGGAATCTTGTTGATATAGAAGGAATAGTTTGGGGGCCCTCTAGCAAACACCATTATTTTAGTTATATCATAGTTTATCTGCAATTGGTGTTCTTTGCAGTCTTGAACTAAAGATTGAAAAGCTGTTTTAAGGCCAGTGGGAATCCTGGAGAGGTTCACAGCATCACCAGCATACAGGAAAGTAGAGATAAACCTCTCAGCCAATTTAGGAGGAAGATAATATGGATTAGCCAACTGGTCAACTAAGCTATTAATATGGAAATTAATCAATAGAGAGAAGCTAAAATACAGCTTAGTTTGACTCCCTTCTCCAATGGAATTGAATTGGTAAGGTGGCCCTGGGAGAATACATCATGTATTCTCATCAAGTTGGAGGATTCCTATCTATTGTTTTACGTTTTCATTTTCTTCCAGAGAATATCCTGTGAGATAGAGTCAGAAGCTGATCTTGAATGAATGAAAGCTGCATACAAAGAAGTTACAGATCGAGAAGAGTGTTAGATGATGGATTCTCTGCAAGAGCTCAGAGCTCAGATGTTCTGGGATGGCAGCATTTAAATATGCAGACCATTTAGCCCAGCAGACACTCCCATTAGAATGTACATTAGAATGATACAGTCTTCCCATTTGCATAAATGCAGACAGAGATGTAAGGTGGATCGCCAGTGGCGGGGGATCACTATCAAAGCATGAGGAAACCTGAAATAGATCTGTAAACTGAACGTTTCCTGACCCAATTACACAGTCAATAAGACTTTTTTTATCCCCTCCCCCATAGATGAAATCTGCTGGATGATCATTTGATGAGAGAGCCATTTAGGATGTGTGGAAGTTGAGCCAGTAAGTCATCTGTGGTAAAGGTCTACAAAGTTAGACTTCTCATCTTTAGAATAACGCACAAGTGGAAACACTTGTCCCTCCAGGGTCTCCTAGGTAGGAATGATATAAGACATGTAAGGTGTTATCATCTGGTCCTAACCTAGCATTGAAAGAAAGGCAGAGAATAATTCTAGAATATAATTGTTTAAGCCAGACCATGCTTCCCTTATTTGAGACTTGCGTTTTCCAAGGGGCAGGTAAATATTAATGATTGACCGGTGGCTTGTGCATAGCCACCACTATAGCATAAGAACTGTATAAAGGAAGTTTTTCAGTACTCACCCCTAAGATAGTGGACACCAGCACCACAAGTCCTCCTCTGGGCCTTCAGCACTTAAGAGGAAGTAGTTGGCTTGAGGTTAATTACAAAGGATGAATATGTTGTCTCGTGACTGCTCAGTATATTTGGTAGTTTCTATAATAGTTTCTTAAAATCACCAGTTCCTTCTCCTCCTCCTTCTAAACCA